GCAGTCCCTCTTTGCTTTCTACTTTTGGCACCACACTATAACACAACATAAGGTCTGACAAAATATAGGCTACAAAATTGACTCTATATTAATCTACAGCACTGCATCTGCAAATGAGAGACTGGTGCAAAAAAATATATAAACTGTCTCATTTAGAATCTCCACTCTTTTGTCCATATAAAAACTATGTGTACACCAACCAGCATTCTCCGCCTTTGTAGCCTTACTTTTTAAAAAGAAAACCAGCAGAATTGCCAGAAGACAGTCCAAAAATATAATTAAATAATGGTCTACTGAAACTGCCAAAGGTGTACTCTGATGGAAAGCTTCATCACTGATCTGTCAATAATCCCTTCATGCAGGAAAAAACGGAAAAACTGCATTACATTATTCAAAATTACTTTTGGACTTCTTCTTCCACTTACTTAACATGGGTACTATATTCAACTGTATAAAAAGGTACTAAAAGCCTATTAGTAGTAGGTAGACAATAAGTGGCAGTAACCTGAGGTGATGCAACCCCTTTTGTAATGGGCATTTCCTCTTCAACAATGCTGTGTCTTAGTCTTTTCATACAACTAACTTGTTATACATCCAGTCCAACCTGAACCACCAAAGACTTCTGATGCTTCCATCTACAAGTATTTCTTCAACAGTTTTCCTCTTCTCTTCTGTATGGTAAAAGTATACAGACCCTCAACATGCAATGCAATCAGTGATGTTGCCAGTTTGAAAGGGATTACTATGTATATTCTCAAGTGGACTTTAAAAAAGTTGCATGCTTTCTTTTTTTCTAAGAAATTAACTGCTCACACCTCTAAATAATTCATGTGGAGGTTCTTAAATGATTTGCTTCATTTTGTACTCCAATGTTTTATATTATATCATTATCACATGGTCAGGTAATTCAAGATCTTCATACGACTGATTCTGATGATTATTAATTTGTGTCACATAAGCATCAACTGACAAAGAGAAAGGGAATAAAGAAGGGAAGAGGAAAAAACCCTCATGTATAATAATTTCAATTAATACAGAAGTTATCAAAAGGGAAGTAATATACTTCTCTCCAAATGACTAGTGTCAACATTTTTGACACACACCTTGGTGCTGAACATCACATATCCTCAATGCAATAAGAGGCATACATCACGATAGAACTTACTCAAAGACTCAAACACACTTTTCAATCTCCATCATACCATTATGCTATCTGATATAATATATTGAGGTAAATAATAAATTAATATACAATATTGGATGGTACTTGGAAAATATGGTCCTAAAGCAATGATGAAATTGGAGGAAATTTTTTAATGTGCTCAACCAAACAATCTACCATGACAAAATCAATGGTTTAGTACTATATCATATGTAAGTCTTCCTCTTTCTGGATGCAGAGTGTATAATTCAAAACTAAGAATTTTTCTTTCCCCATTCTGGGTCTTGCCTGTTTGTGTAGTAAATATGTAAAAGCAGTAAATCCTCAAAGGGCCATCCCTGCTTATTGGTCCTCTTCAAATTACATAATCCATTTAAGCATAATTCATTCTCAAGAAAACAACAAAACATATATGAAGATTCAGGTACTACGAACACATAAAAATCTAGAGATAAAAAAATCATCAGCCTATTCATCAGTCTCCTACTTTGCATCTGTGTTAAGATGCTCATTGCTGCATTCCTCTATTACCAATATATTAATAATGCATAAGGAGGGTCTAGCAGTTACCTTACAATGAAATTGTGCACTTTGGTGGGAGAGAAAAGTGGTTAGTTTAGGAAGAGAAAATGAGAAGGGAGAATGAGAATAGGAGGAACAGAAAGAAAGGTATAATGCAAAATGGAATGATAAGAGGATAAGGTGAAAAGGGCATTAGAAATAAAAGGTTATAGTTAAAACTAAGAAGAGGCAGAAATACAAGAAAATTGTATGTGTATAATGTCACCAATACATCAGGAGGTCAACCCAATGCAAAGTGAAACCATTCAACCAAGCATGAGAAATGAGCTATTATAAAACCTAGTGGCCTCACTGTGGCATCCTCTCCCTCTCTCTCTCTCTCTGTTTCCTTTCTATAAACATTGTCCATATCCTCTTGACATGTTAGTTGAGTGTCCCCTTGCACTGTGCTGCTCCACAAAGACAGACAATCTTCTCTTCCTCAATTGGGAACTTGTAGTCATATGTGATCTCTTCACCACAAGCAATTGGCTGCTTCGAGTATATGACAATCTTCTTTTGCGTTTCAACGGAGATAATTTTTGCATAGCAGTTTGGCTGAAAGAAGTTATAAAATTAAATCAATAAAGGTAAATATCAATGTAAATTCACTGAAATCTTTTCCTATAGCATTCGATTTCACTCAAAATTCTATCTGATTAACTGACATAGAGGTTTCTTTTGTTATCTAATGCTCAAAAATAAAATTCATTATATTTAATAATTCTATGGCCTTTAGAGAATTATAATACATGCCCTATCAGACTGATGCACTTT